ATATCATTTCCCTGACTGCCTCTTTTTAAAAAGTCACTTTTTGACTTTTATAATAATAGTTTACATTGGAACTAACGAACTGTGTCATAAAAGGATCACCTAAACCAGTATGTCAAGTTTATCACAAAAAAGTCATTCATGGAAGCCAAACAGCCACTCTAAAGCTTAATTTTATGACCCTGTGAATCCAATAGAACACAGGAAGTAAAGCCTCAGAATAAAACTTAACACAATGTATTTGTTAGAAGTACAATTAAAATTAGTATTTTCATTATTGCTTCAAGTTAAATGAATAAGATGGGTAACATCTGGTGATCATGCCATTCTAACTGCTTTTTTGCAGCTGAATAATTATGGCATAATTTTCTTTCAGAGCCAGTGAAATAGTAAATGAATTAAAACTCCACTCTTTGAAAGTTACCGCTTAATCCCTTAAAAACAAGTAATCATATGTTTAACTTCCATGCATGCAGATTTAAACAACATAGAACAACATAGAAAGTACCTGCTCACATTTCCCCCCACTTAACAGATCTCCAATAGAATAGAATACTTTATTGGCTAAGTGTGATTAGACACACAAAGAATTTGTCTCTGTATTACTGCATTATCCTGCAAATTACCTCGGATTTTTTCCCCTTCCCATCTGAAGAGAACTGCTAAATTATAAAATGGCTGAAGAGAAGGGGAGGAGGGATTTACAATGGCTACATCCCCCCCCCCCCCCCCCCCCCGGTCAGATATTTTTCTAGCTCTCTCTTTGCTCTCCCATTTCCAAGCAAATGCATTTTTATTTAAACTGGACTTTTATCAAAATTTGTCTTTTTACTGCTCAACCTATATTATCTGTTTTATCCTCTGACTTTTTGACTAATGTTCTTTTTATATATTTTATGTACTTGTCATTTTCATTTCATTGCTAGTTAGCTTAAGCTTGTAAGCAGAATACAAAATGGGAATAAAAAGTATGAAAGTACATCAAAAACGTTTCAGAAGTAGTAGAACACAGCTTCCGAGATCTGCAAGTGGTGTCGCATACTGCCAAGAGGCTACCATATGAGGAAAAATTATGTACTGTAAAGATTGCTTTGAGGTGGGAGATACTTCCAATATAATTTACTGGATTCCCTGCATGGATTGCCCCTGTGACTATGTAGGACATATAAGGAGGAAGCTAACCACCAGACTGCAAGAACACAAATGAGTGGTCAGATGACGAGACCTGAACTCATTCAACTCACATTGCAATGAACAAGGACATATATTTAATATTGCAGCTATTAAGATTGTTGGATGAGCAGGTACAAAAACAGCCAGGGAAGTGACTGAAGCCTGGAAAACGGGCCCCTCATCAGTCAACAGGAATGCTGATTTACTTACCAAATACTTAAGAAGGTGAGGGCTTGGAAGCAGAAGGAAGCAGCCACTGACTTAATAGCCAGCCATCAACCCCACAGTCACAGTCCACACACAGGCAGGCACCATATAAATACAACACACAGAGTAGCCCAAAGCACATACTTTACTAGAGAGATGTTCCCTGAGGATGGGCTCCAGCATGAGTTCGAAAGCTCGGAATACTAAACCTCTGGTACTGGTGACCGAACCAGATGAGATCCTGCAACATTATCCTGGACATGTATATTTGCCTTCATTTGTAATAAAACGAATTTCAATTCTCAGAACACCCATTCAACTGTTCTCCACGCATCTAGAAGTTGCCAATATTGGGAAAACAACACTAGCTTAAACATTGGAATATAAATTATATTACAAGTTAATAAGGAAACAGATCATACTTCACCATGATAACTTTTCATAAAAGTGTTGTGTTAGTTGCTTCATGCAACTTTTCAATAATTTTAAATATATATGTACAACTTCTGTTTGCAGGGAAGAGACAAAAGAATATCTAAAAATCCTTAATAATCAAGATAATATCAGCTTGGATGTCATGCATTCGACATCTGCATTGTACAACTAAAGAAAGATGCTCTGGTGATGATTAAAATGATGTGGAGAAAGAAACAAATATCCCAGCTAATGCTAGTTTGCAATGACCAACAGAAGAAATCATTTTTACTTGGTATCAGAAATTCAACTACTCTTTAAATGTATGTCCTGACCCTACAGACACCTTTAATAGATCACAAGACAGTATTATTTGAGGCATTATATCCCCCAATTATATCTATCCATCTCAATACATCTGGCAGGAAAGGCATGCTCTGCTTTTCATTACACCAAGGGTCCCCAATCCCCAGTCCATGGACTGGCACCAGGCTGTGGCATGCCAGAAACCGGATTGCATAAACAAGCGAAGCCCTATCCGTGGGATACAGGTAGCATGCAAAACTATGCCCCCTCCGGTCTGTGGAAAAACCTCTCTGCACGGAACTGCATGGAACCAGCCCAAAAGATTGGGGGCTGCCATATTATGTCATCCGATGGGGCCCAGGAAGATTTTTTTTCTGGCATGATACCCATCTTTGGAACATCAACTCAACAGAAGATTGGATTGGACCCAACCTTGCTGTATTTTGGAAGGTCTTAAAAGATATGATTACATTAAATGTATAGCACACTCTGCAATAGTTACATTGAATTGTTGGCTGTTTGTTTTCTACCTAGGCTGTCAATTATGTGTATATTGTTTTGACTGATATATGCTTTAAGGTGTTTTAACTGTTGTTTACCCATCCAGGAGTACATTAGAGATGGGCAGCCATACAAATTAATCAAGTAATAAATAAATAAATTTGAAGATAAATTTCTAGAGTTCAAGATGTGCCAACAAATAAAGAAAACATTTTCAAGATCACTGATTGAATGGACATCTAAAAACCCAACATAATATTTCCACAAGGTTTATCAGAACCAGTCAGATATAGTATCACATTTTTCTCAAGAGAATAATAGACTCAAGGGAACTTACAGTAGATTTAAAAACAAAGAAGAAACAAAAAGTATCATACTTCTAAACTGCCTAATTGTTAATCATCAATGAAATTACACAACAATTTGTCAAACCTTAGCCATATAAAGGAACAATGAAGATAAAAATTGTCTCAGAAAGCACACAGAAATCACCTTTTTATCCATATCCCTAGATTCAGTAAGGTCTTATTCCTGGATCTTTTGCCTCATATGACCTCTTCCCTTTCTGAACCTGCTCTTGTACAACAGGCTCAAATGCAGGAAGGAGTAGGTAACAATGCCAAAACGTTAAAGGATCAAGACATCTAGCATCAGATGTTCTGCAAACTGTTCTACTAAACTAGTGGCAATAAAAAAACCCTTATTATGACAATTTTGTTTAAAAATGTTGGAGCATCAAAGTTTGCATTCACTCCTTCCTACTTAAAGAAGTCAATGAATAAAGCATAGGCATTGAAAAGCCTGGTACCTAGTACCATCCCATCATCTGAGATAGGCTATTGTAGGAATCAAAACTGAGCCAATGAGATAAATGAAGTACAATTTCAAACAAAATTAAATAAAAATTGTAACTTAAGTCACAAATGATAAAGGAAACAATAAAAACACCATCAAGACTATGTCTGTATGATGTTTCATCTGCCTTGAACTGAAATTGCTATATCAAAAATCAGAATAGGTACTCAGATTGAAACACAATTAAGTGCTTACAACGTAGGTGAGACGAGGCCAGAGATTCAAGGTGGGAATCAATGCTTGAGATATTAAAGGGTAAAAAGAATTTGCTACTTTTTGCTACTTAAAAATGGTTTGTCTGCCAATGAATGGAAAATAACCAGAAAACACGCATTATTCTCAGATACATATCAACACAAGCCGGAGGCCATTATAGAATTGATAAATTCTGGGAGGAAGTAGAAATATGAAAAGCAAATATACTTTTTCACCCATATGCCCATTCTCCAAAGCATTACTATGACAGAGAAAATTTAAGTTAGAAACTGAATTCCATTTTTGTTTTCTTGTCATAGCAATGCATAAGTGGTTTATCACCTCTGCATGGAAACATGTATTTGGGGCCTGTTTTCCATTTTCTATCTGGCAAGTTATTTATATATTTATCTGAATCACATTATCATATTTCATGCAGATTACACTTAAGAGTATCGAATCAGTAAGTTAGGTTCTAGTAACAGGATAGCCAAATTTGAACAAACAAGTCCTGTGGATTTTAGAATAAAATGCTATACAACAATAAGCTCTAGTGTCATTAAGTAAACTACCTACCTGCCTATAAAAACTGGATAATTTGATATAGAGAATGAGGTGGCTCCGTATTTAAAGCCAGAATGGCCTCCACAGTTGTGGTATCTATATTTATGGGCTGGACTGGGACAGACCAGAGGCCTGTTTTAATGTTCTGCTCCACATTCAAACATGAATACGTTTAACATGTCATTATTAAAGAGCAGCAACATCTCTAAAGCTTCCTTTGAGGAGCAGAGCTGTTGGAAACTGCATCAATTCCCACTCCCTTGGAAATCATGCTCAGTTTGTCAACTCACTTTGCTTATTCCAGGCAGCGGTATGCTCTGATTCAAAGACAGCCTCTCCGGAGCTTGGTGCTCCTGCATCACTCCATGGCCCCCAGTAAAAGATCCGCCCTGCAAGATTCTCCAGTTTCTGTAGTGCTGACATTTTACTCCTGTTGTTCTTGTTGGAGTCCTGACTATTTATTTCAGCTCCTTAGCTCATGTTTCTCTTAATTTTATCAGTAATTCTTTTGTCATTCCTGGTCTGCTCTCAGAGCAAACACAATCATGCAGCTCAGTCAGGATTTAGGAGAGCTCTCTCTTTGATCATTGCTATTTACCCACTGGTAGAGGCAAGCCGGGTGTTTTTCCTGTCCCAAAATGTGAAGTGGACGCTAAAGGAAGCAACTGGAGAGCAGACACACTTCCAGCAAAGCTCTTTACATTCCCCCTCAGCTGACTGATACAGACATTTGGCTTGAACTGATTGCTCTCAACTTCTAAACAGGACAGAATTTCCAACAAACCCACCTCCCTGGACAAAAGCACACATGTCAGTTCAGCAACAGCTACATAGCTCTCCAGAGCAATCATCCATAAACATGCCAGATTTTCCCAACCCCCCACTATGCCCACAAAGGCTCCACGATAGTCCATTCCATATTGGAAGCTTGATCAGTTATACAGCTGGTTATAGAGGGAGAGCGGCAGACAGATTTGATTAATACACAAAAAGGGAGGCCTGCCAGATCGAGGGTAGCAAAGGCCATGCAATAAGGCTTAAAATAGCTCAGAGATTCTTTGTATCTCATTTGCTCTCAGAGTTGAAGGCAGGGCAAATAACGATCTCATCAGGTAGGGAAGTCTATTTTTAAAAAATATATGTTAATTCTTTAACAGGAACTAGTTTCATAAACAGACATGTTTAAATAATAATAATAACAGCCCCAAACAAAGAACTGGTGCGACAGATGGGACAAAACCTGGTGCAGCCCATAAAATACAAGTACAAATTAAGAGACTGCCCTAGGTCATATTTCTTTGGGCGCTCTACATTCTAGAGATGGCAATTTGCTTTTCTAAATGCTAAATTTAAATGTAAACAGCTTAACTGCAGTAGGGCTAACCACAACTTTTGGAATATCTAAGCAATTCCAAAGAACTTACAAGGAATTAAACATAAGTATATATCTCTAATGTATGTATGTATCTCTGATCCAGAATGTGCCAACAACTAATCAAATATAAGATGCTATCCTGTTTTTGAAATCAATCTGCTGCTTTGATCATATCCCGAAGCTTTAAAAACCATGCTTAAATAAAGTCATCTATAAAAGAGAAGAATGGGTGGGAGAGGAAGGGAGAGAAAAAGATAAGGTATAAGGCAGGTGTCCCTTTCTAAAAAAACTGCTTACCAATAAGATTCAGATTAAAGATGATAATTAAATATGACAGCAGAAATCTGAAGACCAAACTGATTAAAGGGCCAGGAAAAAAGTCATTACTTTAGCACTCTGAAGTTACGTAAGATATAACTGACCAGCCGACCAAACAAATATATCCACAGAAAAAGTTGGGTCCAAAACTGGAAACTGAATTCAGAGTCACCTTCCCATATATTTTGAGGACTGTTGGGTTTAGAATCCATATTACCACCTCCAGATTACAGAGAGTTAACACACAGTTGATCCAGATTCAGGCTGCAAGATCAGTTCTTCCAATATTCATCTCCAACACAGAATTAGTTTGTAATTAAAAAAAAACCTGCATGGCAAAGCTGCACTTCTTGACAAGGATAGCATGCAGAATGGCAGAGTAGTTTTGTTTTACTGTTTCAGAAAAAAACCCCAAAGGAACAGCCGTGAAGCAAGAAGTGGCTGGGCATGATGCCAACTTTGTTCAAAGAGTTTAAAGGAACAGACACCCAATTTCAGATCTTTACAAACAGACTTAATTTACAACTGCAAGAGGAAATTTTATACAGTACATCCCAATCATTTTACTACAGGGAATAGGCAAACTGCAGAACCAAGTCTCCCCAGCAATATCTACATGGCCGTAGGCCAAACTACAGATCACCCTAACAAATTCTGACAGGAGATAGATTGTTGCAAACTTTTGTTTATGGACTAGTGATTAGAATAACCAAGTAAGAGGATGAAAGAACATGACATGGCTAGAAAATACTTTAAAGTTATATGTGTTAGCAAGCAGTTTCTGGAAACCTTTGTGGCTTGTTTCAACATTAACAAATATACATATTTCAAAATATTACTAAAATCAATTAGGTTATATGGTAATAAAGAATGCTGATAAAATTATTACAGATAAACTGCAAAGCAAATTTAAGATACATGTAGAGAAATATGTGAAATAAGGGAATAACCAATTTCTTAGAATTTGACGTACATGCAGGAAGAGAATTCAAGTGTGTGGATAAACAACAGTAGATACAATTTCTTAGCTGAAAGAATTAGAAATCTTAATTGATTGCATTAAAACAAATGGATTCTCACTTCCAAAAAAGGGGTTAAAATTGTACAGGTGAAGTTTCATTCGTTTTTTAAAAAAAATGATGTATATTCTTGGAAGGTAAATCTTTGGTGGATTCAGCACAAAAGCTCAAAGTATTTTTCTAATGATCATGCTGGAACGAATACATTGAGCTAGAACAGCAGAAAGCAAAGGTTGTATAAGTCAAGAAGTGGGACACAAGTAGGACAAACAGAATAATAATCCTTGAAAAGCTTTGCTTTCTCAGCAAGTCTCTGATTTCCCATGCTCTAGAGGGTTGTTTTATTTTATCACTCCAGCTATGGACACACAAGAAGATTAGCAAGAATTTACCTAGAGAAAGACTACTTAAACTGGAACAACTATAATCAGTATTGGTACATGCAAATGCTAATCTTAGACTCTCCCACAAAAATCCTATCAAGAAGGGAATTATGCCAAATATTTTCTAAATTTAGTAAAACTGTTGAAGAACACCACTAATTACTATTTAACACCACATAGTGTTACTTTCATATATTCTGAGGAGGTAAGTATGGATATTATAAAATTTACAAAATACAAAGTTGTTTAAAGAACTGATTATATAAATTAATTAAAATTATGCCCTAATGTATACAAAATTCATCCTCAACTGTACAGCAGGCCTTTTCCTATAGATGGTACAGAAATTATAGTTGGAATTCTGGCAAGAGGGTATAATATGCATTAAACTTACCTTCATGAATCTCAATATAGATTTTAAGAACAAAATACTTGCTATTGCAGAAATTTCTAAATTTCATAGGAATTAGTTTAGTTGGTAATACGTTATCAGAAAGAGTCAATTCTACATCAACTAAATTACCGGGTATTAACCCTACAGAACCTTATCTGTTGCTTGCTAGATGTTAAAGTTTAAACTCCCATAATTTCTCAACCTCTACAATCATGCAGGGTAGAAAGCTGTGGAAATTTATAACTGTAAAATTTATGTGCTGTAAAAACTCTTCATATGCCACAAAGATGAGATTAATTTATCTAGGAGCATGGCATCCCAATGCACAACTATTGCATTTTAAAATTAAAAAAGTCATCTTTAACATTTTTCTCATTAATATAAATCTTCTAATTCAACCAATAATCAATAAAACATTTTAATTATATAAACTGGATATTAAATTCCTCCAAATTAGTTTTTTCTCTAAAACAAAACAATGATCTAGCAGAAAATGGCAAAAAGAATCAGCTTGGAATACTCTAAGAACATAATTGGATTAATTGCAGCCTCTTGTACCATGGAAGTTACAAATGCAACACTGAAAAACATTATCAGAAAATAAGTTAATAAGGTAGTCCACAAATTATAAATCACCATCATTAGAAGAAACAGAATAAATCATAATCGTAAACATTACATAAAAACCAAATAAACACAAGCATTAAATTACATTAAAAACAGCAGGGAAAGACAAGCCTTGCTGAGAGAAGACCTAGCCAACATTTTCCTTTCATTCATTTAAGCATAATAGTAATTAGAATGACATAAATTGATACAGACAACTACCAAGAGTTATCTCACTGAAACTTTGCTGTTGCCTTCATCAGTGAAATGTGATGTAATATGCAAAGAGGATACATTTGGAAGCATGTCTTCCATACAGGTGAAACTCAAAAAATTAGAATATCATGCAAAACTTCATTTATTTCAGTAATGCAACTTAAAAGGTTCAACTAATATATGAGATAGACTCTTTACATGCAAAGCAAGATAGTTCAAGCCGTGATTTGTCATAATTGTGATGACTATGGCTTACAGCTCATGAAAACCCCAAATCCACAATCTCAGAAAATTAGAACATTACATGCAATCAATAAAACAAGGATTGTACATAGAACAATATCGGACCTCTGAAAAGTATAAGCATGCATATGTATTCAGGACTTGGTTTGGGCCCCTTTTGCAGCAATTACTGCCTCAACACGGCGTGGCATGGAAGCTATCAGCCTGTGGCACTGCTGAGGTGTTATGGAAGACCAGGATGCTTCAATAGCGGCCTTCAGCTCTTCTGCATTGTTCGGTCTCATGTCTCTCATCTTTCTCTTGGCAATGCCCCATAGATTCTCTATGGGGTTCAGGTCAGGTGAGTTTGCTGGCCAATCAAGCACAGTAATCCCACGGTCATTGAACCAGGTTTTGGTGCTTTTGGCAGTGTGGGCAGGTGCCAAGTCCTGCTGGAAAATGAAGTCATAAAGCTCGTCTGCGGAAGGAAGCATGAAGTGCTCCAAAATCTCCTGGTAGACGGCTGCATTGACCCTGGACTTAATGAAGCACAGTGGACCAACACCAGCAGATGACATGGCTCCCCAAATCAACACAGACTGTGGAAACTTCACACTGGGCTTCAAGCATCTTGCAGTGTATGCCTCTCCATTCTTCCTCCAGACTCTGGGTCCTTGGTTTCCAACTGAGATGCAAAAGTTGCTCTCATCAGAAAAGAGGACTTTGGACCACTAAGCAACAGACCAGTTCTGTTTTTCTTTAGCCCAGGTAAGACGCTTCTGACGTTGTTTGTTGTTCAGGAGCAGCTTGACAAGAGGAATACGACATTTGAAGCCCATGTCCAGGATCCGTCTGTTTGTGGTGGCTCTTGATGCACTGACTCCAGCCTCAGTCCACTCCTTGTGAAAGTCCCCAACACTTTTGAATGGCCTTTTCCTGACAATCCTCTCCAGGCTGTGGTCATCCCTGCTGCTTGTGCACCTTTTTCTTCCACACTTTTCCCTTCCACATAACTTTCTATTAATGTGCTTTGATACAGCACTTTGGGAACATCCAACTTCCTTTGCAATAACCTTTTGAGGCTTTCCCTCCTTATGGGGGGGTGTCAATGATGGTTTTCTGCACAACTGTCATGTCAGCAGTCTTTCCCATGATTGTGCTTCCTACTGAACCAGACTGAGAGACCATTTAAAGGCTCAGGAACCCTTTGCAGGTGTTATGGCTTAATTAGCTGATTAGAGTGGGACACTTTGAGCCTAGAATATTGAACCTTTTCACAATATTCTAATTTTCTGAGATTGTGGATTTGGGGTTTTCATGAGCTGTAAGCCATAATCATCTCAATTATGACAGATCACGGCTTGAACTATCTTGCTTTGCATGTAATGAGTCTATCTCGTATATTAGGTTCACCTGTTAAGTTGCATTACTAAATAAATGAACTTTTGCACGATATTCTAATTTTTTGAGTTTCACCTGTATATCAAGTCATGAATATCCACACGTACCATTAACTGCAGAGATGGCAAAATCAGCCATTTGTTTTTATATTTTATGCATGACAAATCTAAGTTTAAGAAAATATCTTTAAAGAAAATTTAAGAAGCACTTTTGAATTTGTTACTTACTAATGTCCAGTGATTGAATAAGACTGGAGTACAAAGCTATAAATGTCATCTTAATATACTATGATATTCCAAATAAAGGTTTCTGCACAGCATATCAAACTACTTTCAGAAACACATGAAGTCTTACTGGAAGTTTTAATAGTAGGATATAATTTTTTTCAATTTAGTTTTAAAAATGCTAACTTATATGTAAGCACTAGTGAAGTGTCCAAATGGTTTTATCAGCTTACAATATGACTTTAGCAAATAAATTAACTAGTAATGCAGTATTGCTTTAGAATTCAGAGATTTGGTGAAAACACATGGAACTCCAATTCTAAACTAAGGCTTTAATTTTTTTTAAAGTTACCTAAAACAAAGTTAAGAATGATTACTTACCCTAAAACTTTTTAGAAATACTTATCCAAAGCATACATTTGCAATATCAAGTGCTGCAGTGATTCAACATAAAAGGAACCTGAGATGAAAATTTGCAAGTCGGAGTGCTTTGTCTTCT